AAGGGTCCGATTTGGTTTCTGAAAACCACATTTTGAAAGTGTGCCATATTGATTTGAAAAGTGTCGATTTTGGTTTGAAAAGTGTCGTACGTTAAACGTTGAAAATGGTATCAAGACCAACGGGAGTTTCGGGACCTTCAGTGTTGCCGACATCACTATACTGGTACATTTTGGTATAAGTCCAGGGTAAGTATCATAACAATTCAATTCATAGCACGCGAATGTCTCCTCCTAGCTATTTTTACTCAAGTCGTCACTTGGATGGGGTCGTACTAGCATCTTCCAGTCTTCTACTTTTCATATCTGCGTAGCACTTCGCTTTACTTAATGTCTAAACGAAGATGTGTCCATTGAAAGGTCAAGAGCTCCTGTTCGACAATAACTTTTCGCGCTATTTTTGGTCTTAGTAGATCCTCCAAGCTATCACGAATTCACCTACCGCATCGAAAAGATCTACAGATGAAATATATAATTCCGCATTCATACTTCATGACTCCGATGCACGGCTTGATCGGCGCCCCTCTCACACGCCGCCTGCCATGCAAGCGGCGCTCCTAATGCCATAGCACCGCGACCCTGCAAACGGCTGAAATCGATGGCGGCTATCCGCATTGCGCGTTGATCGTCACTCACACACACCACACAGGAGGGTTGGGCTGCTTCACGCCAATCTCGGACCCTCTTACTCCTCCATACTTTCCAACAAGACACCTAAGCAAAGCACCGTGCTCCGATCAACTCTCTGGACTGTGTTGGTAAGGCCAATGTAATCACTTGCCACCCTCCCCCTTCTTTTTTCCCTTTAACGCAAGCAAAGCGGGCGCCGATTTGCAGTTCCAGTCTGCGGCCTGATTACACGTCTTTTCTGGAGCGATGTGGCATATGGGTCGCGTCGACATGCATTACAGTCGTTAACAGCCGACGCGCGTCATCGCGAAGTCTGAACGCTCCTGAAATTGCGCTTCTCTGCTAGTGCTTGGGAGTACTGCACCGCTAATGCACATGTAGAAAAGCAGTTGCGTGGTCCAGCGATTTGCAGTGGAGCGTGATCGGCCAGAGTGGATCTATTCCTAAATCGCGCGCCTAAATCGCTCGAGTCGCGAACTGTGAACGCGGCGACTGCTAATGGATTTATCAAAAGATAAACAATATGCAAGTATCTTATAAGAATTATGTGTATGTGTAGGTTATGTAGGAAAATTTCAGGTGTTCCTACAAGTTGACAAAGATGACGACGGGCAAGTTACACAGAAAGTTATTGAGCACGTAATATACGTGCCTCTTACCAGTAAAGACCACCAATTGGGTCGAGATTGATTTACAACAATGGTTGGCCGTCCAAAATGCCACCATCGTCATTTCCCTCTCTTAATTGCCTGCATCATATTACGCAGAACACATACTGCTTACTTTCATACGTACGAATCAGTGATGATTTTACCTTTCAAATTTGAAACCTAACTTCACACATATTAAAACGTTTCAAATAGATCACATACCTATTACTGATGTATCACACAACGAGGGCACAGAGCCTGTGTAAAGAGATCGTCAAAAATTCGCTACGGTGCCCTAGAATTGTATTATTTTAATTGTCATCACATTATTCGTATTGTAAATATATCATAGCTGTAAATTAGTCCCCGTACGTGTTACTTACGATTTTCTTTCTTTGAACGAAAAAAGGTATTCGCTCTACTCAATGTATAGCTGGCTGAAGACCAACGTTCTGCGTAATGTATATTGCCGTTTTATGTCATTTCAAAAGCGTTTTATGTTTTACTCGCTTCTTACAATAAAACATTGCATGCAACAGACAATGGCATCATAAAGGTTAAGCAGCGTTTAGACTTTGCGTTCGTCGAGGTGCTGTACAACGCGTCATAGCGCGTCGCCGTGCGACGTCGCGAAACCTGAACGCTGCCTTAAAAAGACAAGCAAAGTAATGAAGTTCACAACATGCAATTACCAGATCAGAAATCAATTAAGCAAATGAAAAATCACAAATGGGAGGAAAAAAATTCGCAAAGCTTCTCGCACGGGTTTTCAAATTTCGTCCATTTCACCATCAATTGTAACTGGTGGAAAATCACCGGTTGCAACGTCCACAGGTCGTACGAAACCGCCATGTTTGTCGCCACATTGGAAGTATCTGAAATAGTCACTAATGGAGTCGTTCATCGAGGAGTGCAAGGAAGTGAGGGGGGGGGGCGTAAATTGATTTGTCTTGCCCCTGATAAGTTACAGTCTTGTTCACTGCGAATGCTGAGGCGTGTCAGAGGGAGTGGTTTTGGTGCGGCGCCAGAATGTTTTTCACCAATCGTTAGCTTCGATCTTCTACCTTCAATAATTGCTAGAGAACGGCAGGACGCTGCGCCAAACCCAATCTACTTCCCCTGACACCTCCCAGCATCCGCACCGAAGAACACTATATATCAACTAATGCCTACACATTTTTGGCAGAAACAATTTATTTACGCGCGATCGAGGAAAAAGCTCACATCAGAGAAGGCAGGAAGGATGGTTTCTCAGATCAAAAGGCGCGCCAATCTGTCGATGGGTCTCAATACCAGTCGCGGTGTACCTTCTGGTGCTGATTCCGAATCCGCCCCCGAAATATCGCCTTCTGAACGGAGTCTACGAAACTGTCTCAACAGCTGTCTCTTTCTAACTAAATCGTAACGTGTCGTGTGTCAGCGGCCTTGCCACCAATCCCTAGGAGAGCCGCGTTACAAATAGATTGTTTTTGCTCATGGCTCATAATTCTGTAGAGAACGTTTCTCGCTCAACAGGGGATGTCAATCGGCATACTGTAGGCCACCGACCGCAAGTCCTAAGGGTACCCTAGCACTAGGACCTGATATTGAGACTACAATTTGCCACATTTTTAGAGAAAAGAACAACATCTGGCTCACGTGTTCGCATCATCCGCAACATTTCATCGCACACAGTGCAAAGACTCCCGTTACTTTCCGGTCACCCCCCATTTGACACATGCCATTCCAGGCGATCTGCGTCCTTTCTATGCCTGTTTTTATGAACGTTTCCTGTTGGCTCAGAAAGGGAATTCCAGTCAAGATTCAGTTCACGCTGCGTCCACTTAGAATTATATTCACAGCCTTAGGACCACGCAGCGTTCAATATACCCACTCTTTCGCAAGCCAAAGGCGCGATTTTTAACTGACTCCAATTGCTTCTTAGGTGCGATTCTGTTCTCCTGAACAGAATGCCACTGCGTTTGCGATCAAAAATTTTCACGATTGCTTTACGATTGCTGACTATGCTCGATTCTCATCTACCGGCCCGAAACTCCATGCAAATTATTTACCAGGGAAATCCGCCAACTTACCATGGAACTTTGAATGGAGACCTGGGTAGATCGATAGAGTCTACAAGGTTATTTACAAATATAGATATAAAAGTACAATCTGCATTTCACAAGAAACTTAATGAGCAGGTAAAATTTGTAATGGGAGTAAGGGGGAGACCTGGTGTGCGCGCGAAAGCATAAGCAGCAATCGCACACACTTGAATCGAGTCGTGGTGGTTCAGTGGTAAGGCTTCGACGTTCGACGACTCAGTTCGACGTAAGCGATTCCTCGCTTATGCTTCACAGCTCACCACCAAGCCTCCACCTACTGCACCATTACAAACTTTACCTGCTCATAAGTTGCTTGTGAAATGCAGGTTGCAGCTTTTGCTATCTATATTTGTAAATGACCTTATAGACTCTATCGATCTACCCAGGTCTCCATTCAAAAATCCATCGGTATAGTTGGCGGACTTTCCCTGTCAGAGAGGTTGGCAAACATTATGGCAGAAAGAATCATCGAAGCGACGCACCACCTCCAAACAACCACAACTCTCATTGACCACCTTCCATTAGAGTAAAAAAAATCAGCTACAACAAACTGTACTGCCCCCGGTAGCGTAATGGAGATAATATTTATTTATTTATGATGTTGGGTTGCCCATGTCAATATTTACAATAATGTGCACCTCATTGATCATATCCATTCCTTGCTTCGCCATGCATCTATCGCCGTATTAGTGCAAACTTCGCCATGTAACTCAGCAACTGTATCTGTATTCTGATATTGGGATGTATCTTCGACGTATCGTGTATCATCATTTTCGACGTCGGTCTTTCCGCATGGTGTATACTTGTTTGCGGAGTCAAGTATGATGGCTTGAATGTTTTCGACATGTGCACAATATTGTTCGTCGTCTTCTGCTGTGGAACTTGCTGAAGGGGGTACATATACCGCCAAAAACCGATACAAATTCGCATCAAATCGTACATCCAAACGAGACATTCTGTCGTTTTCTCTTGAAAAAGCATCCACGAAAGGAAGAAGGCGGCGACTCAGAAAAACCGGTTCCAGATAGCCGTCCTTGTATGTCTCAGCCCCGCATGCCGAAGATTTATTAATTTGAGTCTTCCCCCTCCGAGTCTATAACTCCCTCCTTTCCATCCTAAGCCTCCGTAAACTGCGAGGAATGTCCAAAAATAATCTTTACTGTGTCCTTCTTTAGAAGATTCGGACGCAGTCGCTCCTCTGTTTGTCTTCTGACATTAAGTGTGGCGAAGTGAATGGAATTGAATAGAGGGTGGAACATACTTGACCCGGCCGTTCCAGTGCTTCCTGGGCCAAGGAGTATCTTCTATGCTGACGAGGCGAGTCGAAGAGACGTCGGTTCGGTAGAGAGTGGATGTGAACCGACCGCCTCACCGTCCGTATGGAGAAGACTAACATGGATAAACGTAAACCGCTCGCGGTAAGTGGGAGATTTTCTACAATGAGAAGAACGCATCCCTATTCAACCTCTAGCAAATATTCAAACTTAAATCAACTGAAAAAGTTCCTTTTCATTTGCACGTTGAATACCAGTCATTCGACTCTTCTTTTCCTACCTTCCTGTCATCATTCATCAAATCAGAGTAGACTAGCACATATTTAGAAACTCAGTTCAAAAAATGATTAACAGTTTCTTCTCTTTTACCTGACACCAGCGACAGTTCCATCATTTTTCCCGACCGGCTCATCGTACGTGACGCCAACCCACGGCCCTTCCTTGAACTTTGTCTCACCGACGAATGCCACCACTCCACGACGTGGTATCGCACCACGAAGACGTACTTCACAGCGATCACCAACCTGAAGTAGTACTGTTTTCTAGAATCAAAATGGAAGAATCAAAAGGGATTCCAAAGGAAAAGACAAACATTTCGAAAAATCTATTCTCTATCGAAGAGACATCTACGAAGGTGAAACGTGAATGTCCTTATGAAGGAACCATAAGTTGACAATAACAAGGCTTTTGCTGCTACTTTTTGGCGACGACTCACCAGTTTCGAGGTATCAGTCATTCATACACGGGACTACTATAGCAAAATTGATATTCAATTTTGGTAATTTGAAACTCACTGCCACGAGTGGCATGTGCTCGACACGCTTCTGTATAGTCTGATGTATTCGGAAATTATTTCACGTAAGAAATTAGTTCAATATCGAAATACTGGTATCACAGCAAGTGTTGGATAACTTCACTAATCCCTACACCGAAAAACTCTACGAAGTTTGAGGCCCAGTCGACAAATGCAAAACTCCTGACTGCAGCATGCTTTCAAAGGACCAAACCAACTATGTTTCTAGGGGTGCTTTCTTCAAAATACAGGAGGGAAACACTCCGCCTGTGGAGCGCAACATCGGTTTCTTTCGCTGAGGGTGACAAGCTATACGGAAGACCCACGGTGAAGGATTCATATTGTGCTCCTCTATAGGCGAGAAGAACCACTCTAGTTCAGCCGCAACGGTAACAACATGGCGAGCTCAAAATGCCCTACAGTATTCGCGTCTCCTCGAAGCAGCTGCACAATTTTCACGGCTGAGTCACCTGCATGCAGGTTCAGATGTACTGTCGCTATAATGGTGAAAAACACCAGGCGTCCAGCTGTTCTGACAGCGCAGTTATGATCCACGATTTATTTTTGGCAAGACTTTACGAGTTCATTTAAGCGTTAAGCGCCCTGGAAGAACCAGGCACATCGAGTTCACGTATTCAGAGGGCACGTGGATTAAGACAAACTTTTGATGTACACGTTGAGGTAACCCTCTTGCACCGCACCGCCATTCCGTGCGAAAAAATTGCAAGGATACTCCCCATAGGCAAAGCGCCTCTCAGCCACCCCCTCCCTAAAATAGGTATTTTTCTCAATTTAGGCTGTATACTACTTCCTCTGCTTTGGAAAACATCATTTCACGAACCAAGCCCTCTCCTGAACGAAAATCGTCAATAGGACTAATAAATCGTATAAGAAATAAGCAGATTTGGGATACAGCTTTCCAAGGGCCTATTTCAAAACATCCTGGAAAGAAACCACACCAATTTCACAACTTTCCACGATGAAATCGCGATGGTGACTCATGAAAACACTGCAGCGCTATAATAAGGCCTGTCGGGCGCGGAGAAAGAGAAGAAGTCCAGTAGGAAGAGGGAACCCGCAATAAACAAGGCGTTCTTTCAAGGAAAAAAATTGGAGAAAAGATGCCACACCACAAGGAAGTTCTATCAGACCACCTATAAACTAAGAACGCACCTTTATCTTCTTCGCTATTTCTTCGTTAACATCTCCGCGTTCACTGGCAGTGTGTTCGTGTCCCGTAGCACCTTCAGCGAGCAGTTTCTTCTTCCACGCCCGAACACTATCTGGAGAAAAGCTGATATTACAAAACGAGTTACCTGAAGGAGAAGTAGCTCCACCATCATCAGTCGCCTTATTGAGAAGGAGCTCTTTCGCCGCTGTTTGGCTTGGGGCATTTTGCGTTTTAGATAGTTTCGTTTGTTAGTTCTTGTAAAATTACACGTCTTTTCTACTGTAAACGAAGCTTGTGCTATTAATGATCGATAGGAGCCAAGAAAATGCCTCCTCCAAGCCGAACTGCGGCGCTTTTTACCTTTTTATGGTCCCCTTGTGATACAGTGGCAATGACTACTCCAAAAAATGGAAGGTCAGTGGCAGTTTTGAAGAGTTCCAAAATAAGGAAGTCAAATTTCAATAAATAAGTCCATCCAAACAATGAGCTGCCCCTTTATTGCGGTGCAGCTGGGGCCCATCAAGCGCTGCCATTCTACCGAAATGAAGGGAGCACTTTTCAACAAATAGTACGGTATCAATGGTACGACAGAGGGTTCCTGACTGAAAATGAAATTCGTACATACCTTCGCGTTTATCATACTGATCGTCACTAATCGTGTACTTTTCAACCATACTGTCATCTTGTAATTCCGCATTTTGGCCAGAGATGTCTACTGCATGAAGACGCATACCTAGAGTGAAACTGTTGAGTTTCAGCTGTCCAAAAGTAGGAAGCACGAAACAGTAACCTACTCTTCACAAAACAGAGTGGTTCCTAACAAGGTGCTTGATGGTCATCGCCTCGAAAGATTAGTGTGCCATCAAAAGTCGTAATGGGGCATGTATACGAATAAGACAATGGGAGTGTGTCAAACAGCGGAGCTGTCAGCAGTCATACTGCTACTGGCGTGCTTTGACCACAGTTGCCACCTCCAAGTTGTAATCCGGACAACTCGTCCGGATCGCTCAACCATAGGTTGAATGAGGTATTTCTGTGTGCTCTTACACTGTTTTCCCACTTCTTTCGCCACCATATCTCTCTCTCATCGAGGTGCAGATGTAAGTCGATAAATTACTAATAGAGTTGTTGCATCTGGACGAGTTGTCCAGCTCGAAAGATTAGCTGCAGAGGGTAGATGGAGGTGACATTATGGCCAACGCTGATAGCTATCATTCGCCCTCCCAAAAGAATAAGTGGCCTGCCAGTAAAAAAATGTGAGCGAAAAAAAACTGCCGAAAGTGTAAAATATCCCATCTCTTCTGAGCTGATAGCTCCCAGTTCCGACATTTTCTGTAAGCAGCAAAAGTAGATAAATCTACATAACTAACCATCCTTCACACCCAGCTCTTTAAGATTTTTAGCTGCATCCGTTAGAGATGAAACGAATTTTCCCTCAGCATCGTGAAGTTCAATGTGGATGTTCTCGGACGTAGCGCCAACAACCAATTCCAGTTTCTTCTGAAATAACCATCTATAAGTGAATGGCTCACCGCGTCAATGAAGCAATCAACCAATATCCTACATTAAGCCCTAAATAATTGTGACGACCATGCCTTGAGTTCGCCTAAAGTGAGCGATGACGGGTACTTCTTCTCATATGGGAATTCAGATACATTTGATGAGATCTCTAATGCATACACTTCCGCCATTGATCTGGAAATAATAGTACAACATATGACGAACGCAAGAACCCTAGTTCAAAACCTGAAAAAACAAAAATTCACGAGTTTTGTTCAATTATCTGAACAGCGAAGTGAAATATCACATTCACATTCAAATATTGTCGGAATACGGTAACAGAAGTGTTCTAATGACATACACTCTACTTCGCTGCGGACGGTTGGGCGTATCATCCAGTAAGAGTGTGCCACCCTCTTTGAGCTGTTCTCTGCCTTCTTGTTGAAACGAGGGCATGCGACAAAAGCAGTAGAAAATAACAGTATACGAAAAGGTATGAAACATAATTTGTTCATATTGTCTCGCGAACAACTCGTGGAAACCATTTGGCACCGGCGCCAAACGCAGCGCACGAACACTGGGGGGGAGCCCAACCGTCCGCAATGAACTACACTATAAAGGCTATCAGAAAACGAGTAACGAGTCAGTAGAAAGGCTCCAACTATTCGGTGTACTTTGGAGATGGTAAGCATTCGAGTGAAATAAAATAGACTTACACTTGCCGCATGCCAGAAGAAACCGAAAGTGGCAACTCAGTCAACGTTAGGAGAAAACCTAAGACATCACCAGATCAAGACCAAAAGGTATGAAGCTTTGAGCGCTGATCCATCCTTGGGTTGAAATGCGCCTTTCAAACTACTGAGAGTCCTACTACTATCTTCGGGAAAAGCTATGTGGCTATGTACCTGACTGTAATTTTTCCTTCCACGCGCACGGTCCCCGACAAATCCCGGATCGGTTCTCGCCCAGGCCAAGTAAACCTTCTATCCTCCGAGGACGCTAAATTGGTGCAGATGCGTCTGTGAGGACAAGAACGCTGAACTGTACATCGGCCTGGCCTCCGCAAGCGATTGTATTGGCTGCAGCGCATTCAATAAGCCATTAGACTCTAAATGGAAGTAGAATTCGTGCCGCATCCCAAAAAAAAGATCGGTTAACGGCAAAGACTTCATCCTTCGATTTTTCCTAGGCCTAGTATTCCGCTGCAATTCTGCCTTTGATGGTATTGATCTCTAGAACACGAATACCATCCACATTTTGAGTGCGAAGATGTCCATTATTTTCACAGCCGTCAGATGTGGGCCGTTCAAGGCCAAAACAAGAGACAGTTTCCGGCAAATTTGATGGTTCAAGGTATGGTGAGAGCGAGTGAAGTTATAGCGGCAGAGATATTCGCGTTGAGTGAATCGAATTTAGGGACAAAATTCCAGACGATTCTACTCCAGAGAAGAACTCGAAAAAGGCTGCAAGAGTAGAGTGTCTTGAAGTATTACAGTCTGGATGATGGGAGGTTGGATGACGGGGCGCGTCCGTACGGCTGCATTTGGCGCGCCATGAAACCCATTCTCCGCTTTTGCAGCGAACCAGACTATATATATTTTCGACAGAGTGACACCCTTCCTATCTTAGCGTACCTTAGTGTATCAAACCAGAAAGACTGCCATGAAAGCAATGCTCAAAATGCTCATTTGGGACAACTTCGAGCACCATATTACATGGTTTTCATTCCGCGAACAGGCCAGCTGAAGCCTTGCTCCTACCAGCAATTCTTAATGAAAGAAGTTTAGAAGAATCGCTCCTTTTTGTAATGCTATGTTACACGGAAAGCTTATTGATAACATGAGTACTATACCTACAGCTCCATAGGAGTGCAAGCAATGAGGGGACGCCTAGACAAGAGATGCAGGAAGAGGTGAGAACCTTCAGCAGCGGCGGATCAAAGCACCCCGTATGATGGAGATTTCACAACGCAGGGAGGTGACGCATTTTGAAATACGTTTCACAATACCCGGACCTACAGCCGGGGACGCATGCAGCAGTACGATGGGTCGCGCCTAATTTGACAAACTGTTCAGGTTTCATGAAGCTGTTTTTGGTACCAAAAAAGGAGAAAAAAAAACGGACGAACGGATAGGCACTGATATGATATCCCATAACTTACTGAAATTCATTGTGAGCTGTGGTGTAATGCTTACGATAGTGTGTGTTAGCCAAACTTTTTTGCAATAACCTGTCAAAGAACATTCCCAGCCTTTTTATGGCAAAATACATGAAGAGTACAGTCAACTTTCTTATAAACCGGCCCTGAATGTTTTTTTTCAGACTCGGGGTTCTGGCGTCCTTCAT